AAGGCCAAAAGGTGTCAAAAGTATTTGGGAGCTCTTATCCCTAAAAGATTTTAGGGTTACCTCTTGAGAAGGGGGAATGTTAAAGTAGCAAAAAGCCCCATTTAAAAAATATAAATTAAAGAAGAAGAAAGAGTACATGAAGTTATCAGAAAAAGAGTGATGGGGAGATATGGGAGGAGTTGGAGGGGAGGGAGTGGGCATGGATTTGATCAAAACACCTTATATGCATGTATGAAATTCTCAATAAATTATTTATTTAAATTTTTTTTTTAATTTCAGAAGATAGAGTTCTGTAGCATGGCTGTTCTTTCTTGGCCCCTCCCAGAGTATGATAATATCACCCTCCTGTTCACCTCTTGACTTCTTGAGAAGATGTAGGCAGAGATGGCACCTGAGTTTCAGCATTATAGTGCAGGGACATTTCAATGTCAAGAGCAAGAAGACTTCAAGTTTCAGGGCCTATTAACTTCACTCCCATTCTACTCTAGCCTGTGGCCAACAGGTGAAGCCAAAGAGCTAGAAGCATGGAGCTCATGCAGGACATCTGGATTCTATCCATGGGTGTCCCCAGGGCTCTTCTGTGGTCCATTCTTTCCCAGGAGTTCACTGTCTACTAGTGGCAGCAGAGCTGGTGGAAATGGGACCTCTCAGATGTAGGTGGGACAGGGAGCTTAGCCGCAAGCACAGGCTACTAATGAATTAGCGTACCCACATAGAGCAGGCATCTGGAGAATGACAGCACTAAGATTTTCATCCCTGATGGCCTTTGCACTACTGTCTGTGCCCCAACTATGCACTGTGTTGTTTTCCCACTGATACTAGATGCTCCTTAGCCATCACTGGACTTCCTTTCTGTGGTTTTTGTCTTGTCATTGGGAAGATGGTGTGCCAGCCTTTAAGATAATCTATGAAAAGGCCAGAGACACTCTCGCATGACCTTGCCTTCGAAGTTTACATCTCTTTGAACACAGGCACAGGCTCTTCCACAGTAGTCTATAAGTCTCAGTCTCAACCCAAGACCACCAGGCATCTAATCCTTGTGCTGGGAGTGCGCGCTGCATACGGGGTCCTCTTTCCATCTCACCTGGAATCTGTGAGGAAGCAGAGGCCTTGATAAAGTTACTACTCATATGTTGCCTAGGAGATGGCTTGGTTATACCCCTAAAATACCCACCTAGTCAACAGTACTCATGTGTGGGACACCACCATCAGATGGATGTCCAGCCTTCTGCCCTTTAGTGTCATGACCAGAGATTCATGGTTTAGATTGCAGTCATGAATTAAAGCCAGCAATTCCTCAGGGTGTATTTTATAGGGTTTATGATTAGTCAAGTTGAGGAAACTGGATTGTACAAAGTTCAAGAAGATTTGTGGTAGTACTTTTTTTTTTTTTTTTTTTTTTTTTTTTTTTGAGGCAGGGTATCCCTGTAGCCCCAGCTTTCCTGAAACTCACTATTCAGACCAGGCTGGCCTTGAACTCACAGAGAGCTGCCTGCCTCTGCCTCCCTAGTGCTGGGATTAAAGGCAAGCATCACCATGCCCAGCTTGTGGTAGTACTTTTAATTTACTAATATTCATTGTGATCCCCGGGCTTCATTTAAACAGTAACATTAGTACCTCTTCTTCATTGGCTCTGGGATCCTTGGTGAACTTCCCGCACATGGTGTCATTTAAACCTTCTCAGTGCTGTGAGATTGATGCCATCATTGCCGCCGTTTTGTATGCTAAGAAGGCATGCCCACTTCCACAGCTAACATGCACTAGTAAAGGGTTTTCTGCTTGAGATGGTTAAGTCTGGATCCCACATTATTGATCAGTGGGCAGTGCTATAGGTGTGTTGACCAAACCTTCTGTTACTTGGGGATTGCTAACTCAGGATCATTGTTGGTAAACTGCTGGTTTAAACCTAGGTGAGTGGAGTCTGCTAGGTGAAGGAGTTTCCCTTATGAACCCTAATGGTTCTGAGAACTGCCCCCTTAGACTAATCTGGGCTGTTTAGTTGCTGCAGCTGCCTTCTTGGTAGGAGAGGCAGGTTGGAGGGTCTGCAGATGGTCTGGTTTCTATACAGTTGCCTCACACTCAGCTACACATGGGAGTTCCTCAAGCATCTTTAAGTGACTCGTGTCTAGCCTCATTGGCAGTGTTTAAATAATTGTTGAGGATCAGGGCACACTCTTTAATGTTCTCCTTATAAGGCTTATATGAAAGCAAGTGAAGGAAGGGTGTCCTTCCTCAAATGGCTTAACAGAGTTTGAGCTTTCTGTGTGTTTGCTCCTGCATGACCTTTGCTTTTTCCTTACTGGCCTTGGAGAGTCTGTACCCGTGGTCCTAACTTTGTACCAACAACTGCTTGTTGACCAGCCCTTCACATAGAAGTTTAGGTGAGTTACAGAGGTGACTCGTGTCACAGAGGCTCAGTGCTCTTACTTGAAGGAAGTGGGTACCAACGCTCAGATTGCTGCACCCACACTCCTGCTTGGGAAGCAGGGGCCAGAAGTACATTCTGAGTGACAAGGCTAGCCAGCTGCACACGGATTTCTCACTAGGTTTGTGCTGCGGATGTGGAGCTCCAAGGAGTGTTGGTGGTGTTTTCAATTGGGTCATGTGAATCTGGGTAATAGAACTGGTTCTTGGTTTTGTGTTTGGGCCTTTGCTGTCACTTATGACCTTGTCTATGAAAAGATTTCTTTAGGCATTCAGGGAAATACATGACCTTGCTAATAAAAGACAATAGCTGGTTTGCCTCTAACCTCAAACAGCCTTAAAAAAAACATACATTTCTTCAGAGGTGGGATTTTGAGATTGCTGTTCCTTTTCCAGTTCACACAGTTGAGTCACAGTTCGGACACAGGGTTTTAATGAGAATGTTTCTGTCGGTTTCTTGCAGTACAACAAACACCTCTTCGTGCACATCGGGCATGCCAACCATTCTTACAGTGACCCATTGCTTGAATCCGTGGATATTCGTCAGATTTATGACAAATTTCCTGAAAAGAAAGGTGGTTTGAAGGAACTGTTTGGAAAGGGCCCTCAAAATGCCTTCTTCCTCGTGAAATTCTGGGTGAGTAAATGGACTGTGACTTCTGTGGCTCATGTTAATGAATGAATTGGACCTGGGAGCACAGTGTCACATGCCCCAGCTTTGAGTCCTCACTGACTGTGGTTGGTGTGCTGCAGGCTTGAACCTGTGGGCTGGGCTGTTCTGGCCCTGTGCATCTACTTGTTGTGCCTGGTACAACTGCAGTCTGCTGAAAGGGGTGGGAAGAGTGCGGCTCTTTGGGCCCGAGCCTTAATGCAGTTACTCAGAGCTGGTTGGAGTCACCGTGGAAAGCTTGAGACACTTCTCCCTTTCTGCTGCTTTTACCCCCATTAAGTTAGGAAGCCCGTGGATCTCACTAGAGCACAAGGACCTGGAGTCAGAGGGAGATGAAGTTGGACACCTCAAGATTTTGTCAGTGTCAGGCAGGATACACAGGGACTTTCCCCATAAATACTTCAGTCCTGGACTGGGGAGATGGTTCAGTCAGTAAGTGTTTGCTATGCAAGTCCGGGCCTGAGTTTGATCCTCAGCACCAGGCTGGGTGGCATGCACTTGTCACCCCAGCTCCAGGGCCCTGCTTGGTGAACTCCAGGCTAGTGAGAGACCCTGTCAATAAACAAGGTGGATGGCTCCCAAGGAACACCACCTGATGTTGTCCTCTGGCCTACACACACAGACGTGTGCACACACGTGCACACACACATACACAAAAAGAATTTCATTACTGCTTTACAAGAACATGGATCAGCTGAAATTGGCCTGGGCACTCGGGTTTGCTGATGCTCCACAGGCTTTGGAAGAAGCTTTGCCATCCCTTTTGCACTAATCACTAAGTGTGGGCCCCGGTTGGCCTGCTAATAGGTCAGAGTAGGCATAGTGATAATACGGGTACTGAGTTGGGCACAAGACACAGCATAACCTGCTAGGATTGAGGGTTGATGAGTCCTCCATCTTCACAAGAATAAAAAGGAAATTGCTTTAAGTGTTTGTGTCCCTTAGCTTGTCATTCACAGCCCTAATTAGACACCCCGCTCCGGGGTGCTTTTGTCCTGGGTTCTACCCGGCCCCTAGTGCTTCCTTTTGGTTCTGCACACCTGAGCAGATCTGGATGCTGCTTCCTTTCCTCTGCTACTGAGCCAGCCAGCTCCTCCCCACCTCACACCTCCTCATTGAGGCAGACCATCGATTTTTCCTTTAGTCCTATTGCGTTTTATGGTTAATCAGTTCCCATGCTGGGTCATAATTATTGGAACGTGTGTTCTGCTCCCTTCTGGACTTTGACTGCCCCCAGGGGACCTAATTCACCGAGTGGTTTCCATTTAGTGGCTACCTGCTGTGCACTGGGAGTATGCTAAGTGCTTTACATGGATTTCATGCTTTAAGTGGAATTTGTCTCATAACCAACTAAGAAAGCAGGCCTGGTATGAAAAGGGACAGGCTGCCCAAGGTCCAGGGCCTGGGCTTGAAATCAGATCGCCAACTTCAGTGCCCCTCCCTATGGGCTACTTAGCTCCCTGTGGGCCCTGGCCACAGGATTTGTCCCTAAGACTCTGTTTCTGTGATACTAAGCAGGTGCTCTACAGGAAAAAGAAAAGTAAAAGTCCAGCCAATATGGGAACAAATGGGTGGGTAAAAAAAAAAATGTGTTTTAAATTCTTTGGGGGAGCATTACCATCCTTCCATAAGGGCTGGATTATACTTTTTATGCATCTCCTTGGGTGGAGGTGGCTGCATGTCTGCTAAGGGAACCCTGAGAAAGCAACACCAACTACTTTGTAGAGATGTGAGTGATCAGGGATTGGGCATTGTACAGGAACATGGCAGTTTTCAGGTGTGGCCACTGAACCTCCACTGGGCTCCTTTACTCTTTTAGGCAAGTTCTCTTATAGCCCAGGATGGCTTCATACTGGCTATAGCCAAGGATGGCCTTGAACTTCTGATCCCTGCCTCCATCTTGAAGTGCTAAGATTATAGGCCTGTGCCACATACACAGTTTATTGGTTCCTGGGTTCCAGGCTTCATGCATGCTATACAAACCTTCTATCAATTGAGTTCTACCCCCAGCCTTCTGGAGGATCCTTTTAATGGGTGGATAAGATTAAAACTACTTTTGTTACACTATTGAGATGGAGCTTTTCCTTTTTGTACTCTGCTGATTTTCACACCAATTATATAAAATCAGTGGGGTAAAATAGGTGATGTAAGACCCCAAGGCTGAGGCTCTGCACCAAAATATACCACATTTAGAAAGGATATTAAGTCAAGCCAAGAATCTCCCTTGTGCATTTGGTCATACCTGGAACGTGGATACACACATCACGGAAGACAACAGACAGTATTTGTTGCCAAACATAAGATTTAGGTTTGTAAAGGAAAACTAGAAATGACTCAGTGGTTAAGAGCACTTTTGCAGAGAAACCCAGGTTCAGTTTCCACCACCCACATGTTCCCTAACTCTGGTTCTAGGGGTTCTGATACCCTCTTCTGGCCCCCATGGGCACTGCAAGCATGTGGTACCTGTATGTGTAGGTAAAACACATTTTTTTTTTTTAAAGAAATATAAAGCAAAAGAAAAGTTTTTAAGCCTGATAGAGATTTTTGTATCAAAAAATTTGAGAGTCCCATTATAAAAGCCATAAAATGAGGTTGTTATAATTAGCATTTTGTTTGACTATGGATTGATGTAGAAGATACTTAGAACGGTTTTTTTTTTTTTTTTTTTTGCTTCCAAAATTGTCCCTTTAACCATGTGGAGGACAAATGCTTTCCTCCAGGGGCCCTCGGTCGTGACTCCCCTAATAATGAGGCCTAGATTGCACATGTGTGGCATGGTGGGTAGTGTTTGGTGTGCAGACTCAAAAGGTTATTTTGTGAGCTCAGACACTCACTTATTCATATTTACAGGATTAAAATTTAGCACTTCATGAATAGGATAGAAAATATCACTCATTCAGCACTACTGTTGGGAGTACTTAACCTTTAGAAAGAAATTCTGTCGCAACTGTTAAAGGAGAGAAAGCAATTTAAATCAGGCTTGTGGTTTGGAGTCTCAGGCTCCTGTAATGACCTGGTAGGATGACTCACTTAGTGTCTCCAGCCTTGGGTACTAGCGGGTGCTGGCACGGTAGATGATGCTTCAGAAAGTTTAGCCCTTCCTTTGAAATAGCTTTTGTGTTAGCAATTCACTTAGATTTTCCTTTTCAGGTGAATTCAGTAAATTACAGTAGCAGCTCTGTACCTGGCCTAAAAGAGCCTGGAATCTCTAGGTTGTCAAAATTGATGTTTTCAGAGTGTCTGTCCCCTCTGACCTGCTGGGTTCAGTTAAGACCTCCAGAGGAGTTTTCTTTGGAAGAACTACTGGTGCCATTTATTTTATTTGCTTTTATTTAAGATAGGGTCTCCTTGTAGCCCCAGCTGGCCTGGAACTTGATATGTAGACCAGGCTGACCTCCATCTCACAGAGATCTCCCTGTCTCTGCCTCGCTAGTGCTGGGCTTAAAGGAAGGTGTGCATGACCATACCTGGCCCCCATTGTTTTGTTTCGTGCGTGTGTGTGTGTGTGTGTGTGTATGTATTGTATTTTTTTAAATATTTTATTTATTATTTTTATTTTATGTGTATGTGTGTATTGCCTGCATGTAGGTAAGTGCATCTGTGTTGCACAATGCCCGGGGAGGACAGAAGAGGCTGTCGGATCCCCTGGAACTGGAGTCACGGACAATGTTAGGTGCCATGTGGGTGCTGGGATTTGAACCCAGGCCTTCTGCAAGAACAGTCAGTGTTCTTAACCTCTGAGCCATCTCTCCAGCCCTGTATTGTATTTTATATATGTATGTGAGGGAGGAGGAGAGCAGGGGTCTCTTTCAGCCATATGTCTGCAGGTATTGAGTAGGGTGAGCTCACAGGAGCTGTTTTGGATAAGGAGGGTCATGGATATGGGCACTGAGACAAGAGACAAGGTGCTTGTGCGGCGAGTCTCTGGAGCATTGGTGTGTGTCTGGTAAAGGCTGGTGGGTGGAAAAATATAGAGAGTGAAAGAATCTGGGTTTGATTAGGCTGGTAGGTGAGTGGTCAGTGGTTTTAACTATTTTCCAGCAGAGAGAGCAGTGAGTTTTTGTTACTGAGGCTTCCAGTGTGCCTGCCTTTTTAAATTTTATTCTTCATCTTTTTCTTTTCGCAGCAACCTTCAAGTTGAATATCTCTTATCCACAATGCTAGAACCAAAAGAGATTTCAGATTTCTTTTTTTAAAAAAAAATATTTATTTATTTATTTTTGAGATAAGGTCTCCCTGTAGTCCCAGCTGGCCTAGAACTTACTATGTAGACCAGGCTGGCCTTGAGCTCACAAAGGTCCTCCTGCCTCTGCCTCCAGAGTGCTGGGATTAAAGGCGTGTGCCACCACGCCTGGCTATTTATTATTTTTATTTTGTGTGTGTAAGTGTATTGCCTGCATGTATGTAAGTGCACCCATGTTGTGCAGTGCCTGAGGAGGTCAGAAGAGGGTGTTGGACCCCCTGGAACTAGAGTTAGGAGAGTTGTTAACTGCCATATGGGTGCTGGGAATCGAACCTGGGTCATTTGAAAGAGCAGCCAGTGCTCTTAACTGCTTAGCCATCTCTCCAGCCCCAGGTTTCAAATATCTGAGTTTGCCAGAGTTTCGATGACTTTCGGCTCAAATATTGGTTGGCTGTCCCTGATTAAAAACTGCTGTGTAGTCTTGACATTTTCCAGCATTGTGTTGTCATTTAGAGTTTGTTATTTCAGATTTTGATTTTCACATTGGGGATACCTGGTCTGTAGGAAGTACAGGTTGGATCCTAAATATTTTTTATAAATTTATTTTACTTTTTTTAAAAAAAATTGTATTTATGTGTATGAGTATTGCCTGCATGTAGGTAAGTGCACCCATGTTGTGCAATGCCCTCGGAGGACAGAAGAGGCCATTGGATCCCCTGGAGCTGGAGTTACGGACAGTTGTTAGCTGTCATGTGGGTGCTGGGATTCGAACCTGGGTCTTTTA